TACCTACTTGAGCTTTTGGTTTTTCTAATTTGATAGCCTTTGGGAAGAGATACTGCATACTGTGGGGTACTGTTCAACAGCAGGTTAGAAAGAATGTCGATGCAAAAAGTAAATGTGGCAACTTTAAAGTTTCTCAACCTATTCTATTCATATTGTATTTGTTAGGAAGATTGATTAGAATAGCACGCTTGTCCTTTGTTAAAGTGGATTAAGCAGTAATTTCATGTTTTCACCCCCCCCCCCCCACATCCCCTTGTTTTTCTTGTTTTTTCTAGTGGCTTCATTTTCCTTTTGTTTTTGGCTTTACCTTGACATGCTGATATTTTCAAGACTATGGTTGAATTTTTCTATAGCTCCATGTAAGAACCAAATGGTACCCCCTTTTCTATTGGAATCAAGTGTGAAAATGAATCTCTGGGATATTGCAAACGACCAAAGACAGTGCACCATAAATATGACTTCATTTAGTCATTCTAATTGCTTATAATCTTTGGATCTACCTAGGGAGTAAAAAATGATTCATGTCTTTATCTATTGTTCTACAAGCTGAAATTTAGCTTTGGCAGTCTAGAAGCAAACTGGAAATCTTCTGAAGTGTCTGTTTTGTCATATTCTAGTCTCTAGGAGTGAGTGGATTTCATGACCAACTTTAGAGACATGCTGTTGATGAACTAAAATATTTTAAATATTCCCAAATCCTGATATGCTTGCCCACATTTGAGCAGTTTTTGCTGACTCAAATTCAGAAGAGTGTATTTGTTGAACACATGCCCTTATTTAGGCCAACAATTTCCCATCATAAAATTCATGAATTTTGTTATTTGTTTGTAAGAAATCTCAGTCCGGTTCCTTAATTTATAGCTATTTATTTAAGAAAGTTCTTGCTTGTAATTGCATAGCAACTTTGATTATCCACCAGTATCTTGATTCTAACTGTGAAATGGGTGTAATGGTTTTCTGCAGCTTGTACACATCCAAATCGAACATATAACTTGGTTGCTGCAAATGATGTACTGCTTGATTCTTCAGTGATGAAGTACAGTCCTTCAGACTGCCAAAGACCAGAAGTATTGAACAAGAACTTGGTGGAGGGGAACATTCTTCTTTGTGGTTATTCCTTTAATTTTGTTGTTGGTACCGCATCTATCAAGAAAGTCTCAGAAACAGCCAAGAGTCTTGGTGCAATTGGATTTGTTCTTGCTGTGGAAAATGTTTCTCCTGGAACGAAGTTTGATCCAGTCCCTGTTAATATTCCTGGGATTTTAATCACAGATGTGAAAAAATCAATGGTAACTTCTCACTCATTTATCTTAAATTTTTTATTTTCATATTTCCTTTGTCTTGTTATATTCCTGTATATCTTCATGGTCGTCTCCTCCACCCTCCTAAATCACACAGAAAGTTTTGGCAGTTGTGTTGGATTCTTTAGTAATTTGAGTTGGTGCTTGAGCATCATGTCATTACAGGATCTTATAGACTATTACAACACCTCTACACTAAGAGATTGGACTGGAAGAGTGAAGAGTTTCAATGGTACAGGAAGTATTGGGAATGGCTTGGAGCCTATTCTCCATAAATCAGCACCACAAGTAGCATTATTCTCTGCTCGAGGGCCCAACATAAAAGATTTTAGATTCCAAGATGCTGATCTTCTCAAACCAGATATCTTGGCTCCTGGATCTCTCATATGGGCTGCTTGGTCTCCTAATGGAACAGATGAGCCAAATTATGTTGGTAAGTGAGATAGTAGCTCTTTTTTTTTTTTTCCCTGAACACAAGTAGTTCAAATTCAGAATCTCATTAAGGCAATAATCTTTAGTTTCGCATCACATTTTCTTTGTCTAGAAGAGCAACCTATTCAAGGAACTTTGTATAACTTCTTGGGAGTGAGGAGGCAATTGGAGTGTTTAGAGTCTCTTGACTTAAATTTTATCTGGGATCTGGGTCATTTAAAAGGAGGGTTTTAAAGTCGTGCAATATTTTATTTCTCAGTTGTGTTAAAGGAAGTAGATGTTCAATGCAGTTGAAAAAACATATTTATTTTTATCATAAAAATTTGAAAGAGAACATGGAGCTTCATGGAGGAGAAAAAGGAGATACTGTTGTACTCCTTGGAATTGATATATCTGCATCCTAAGCATCTATTAACTTTGAGCAGGAGAAGGATTTGCCATGATATCTGGAACTAGCATGGCAGCGCCACATATAGCAGGGATAGCTGCTCTTGTAAAGCAGAAGCACCCTCATTGGAGTCCTGCTGCCATCAAATCAGCCTTAATGACAACATCAACAAATCTGGACAGAGCAGGAAGGCCTCTTCAAGCACAGCAATATTCTGAAACTGAAGCCATGAAGCTGGTCATGGCGACACCCTTTGATTATGGGAGTGGTCATGTTAACCCAAGGGCTGCTCTGGACCCTGGACTCATATTTGAGGCAGGTATGATACTCGCACGTGACATGCTTGGAGTGGTTGATTGCATCGAAGTTATTGATAATTTAGTTTCATAATGTGGAGTCCTTCAAAGTGACCTAGTGGATTAAATTTGAATGTTCTTGGCTGCTTGTCCAAGTAGATTTGGTGCAATAAAACCTAGTAATTAGCAAAGAAACTAAAGCCATAATTTTGCAGTGGATTTTTTAGCAGATCTGTACTGTAAAATTTGAGTCATTGGCCAAAGATAAAAAGCCATGGTCTCTGTTGTATATGGCTTCATCTGCGTGTTAAGCAATAATGCCAGAAAACAGAAAGGCAGTATCCATATATAGCTAATAATTTTGGGGGTTGTAAAGGGTTATGATGTCAAAACAGAAACTAGAAGGAAACATAACAAAAGATCTTGGAGGAGACTATGTTAATGATCCAATGAGCAAAGAACTTGAATGTTCTTTGCAACCTGCCATATTAGCGAACCCTAGCAGACTGTACCTGAATCATTTTTTTTCCCATGCCTTACAAGTGTAGTACAATGAGGGCAGACACATTATGGTTTCCAGCCGAAGTTATAAGCATCTGTCAGTTTAATTTGGTGCATATATAGTTATAACCAAAGCCTGAAATGTCTTCGTGGCTTCATTTTTTTAACTTGTGTTATTGCAGGTTATGAGGATTACTTGGGTTTCTTGTGCACGACTCCTGGCATCGATGTCCATGAGATACGTAACTACACTAACACACCATGCAACTACAGTATGGGTCATCCATGGAATCTCAACACCCCATCAATCACTGTTTCCCATCTAGTGAAAACGCAAACAGTGACTCGCAGAGTCACAAATGTTGCGGAGGAAGAAACCTATGTGATCACAGCCAGAATGCAACCAGCTGTTGCCATTGAAGCCAATCCTCCAGCCATGACTCTGAGACCCGGTGCATCACGGAAGTTCACGGTGAGTCTCACTGTTCGTTCGGTAACTGGAACATACAGTTTCGGAGAAATTTTGATGAAAGGCAGCAGGGGTCACAAAGTAAGGATCCCAGTAGTAGCAATGGGATTTTGGCGATAGAACAGGGTTGGTTTGTCATCTAAATTAAGGTTAATGGTTATAATATTCTTTGTAACATGTGGTAATAAGATACAAGGCTAGGTATATTTGTTCGAAATATATACGTGGAATAGCTGTAAAGATAACCAGTGCATGGAAGACACTCCCTAGTTTCTTCCCATCATAAGTTTTGCTAATTTGTTTAGTAATTTAATAAAATGCTTATGATTTATGTATTAAGATACATATTTTCTTTTTCATGTATTATGATTTCTGTATTAGGGCAGTTTTTTCTGTTAATTGTGTTTCAAAACTTGATTTTGTTGAGGTTAAAATAATTATTTATTTTGTATTTAGAAATTTATCTTATAATAGTTTAAATTAAATATATTTTTAAAGATATAATTTTTAAAAACCATAACTAAAGATATTTATTAATTTCTTTTTAAACAGCAACCGGAAAATCTATTTTATTGCCAAGCACATTATAAGAACCTGTTTGGATAAATTATTTAGTATTGAGGTAGTGTATATTCTTTTATCTAATTGCTTTTCATGTCAGGTTAATTTCCTGAGGTCGATCATGTAATAATCTTTTTGCTTGTGAAATTGGTCACCAACACATTGAAATTATCTCTGAAAATGAGATAATTATTTTTACACGAGTGTAGCAGTTGTGTTTGGCTCTAATTATTTGCAATTAACTGGACTATATATATATTAAGTCAAAATAAATAAAAACCTCATAATTTCTTCTAATTTCAGTACGAATGACTCTGATACAAGGTAGCTGCAGCATTCCCCTATCTCATATTATTCCTCACCCCTCACCATAAAAGAAGAAATAATCCCACAAGACATGTTCTTAGCAAGGTTGTCTAATTCTATCCGAGAACTGATTCAGAAAAAAAAAAAAAACCCGAGTTATTGGTCATTAAGTTAATTGTTTTTATTAAAACATTAATGTTTTGTTTCCTTTTGTCTTTTGAATTAAATCAAACGGATTTGGACTGTGTTTGATCGCCTCAATCAATTTAATTAAGAATATGGTCGGACTAACCAGGTTTATTAAATCATTATCTTATTCAATTCAACTAAAAATTAAGTTAATAAACCCAGGTTTAACTGTCATGATTTTTAGAGTGACAGGTCGATAAAGCATAATTTCTTGATAATTTCAGACGAAAAGACCCAATTGAGAAATATAAGATTCAATGAAGATAAAATTAATCTTATAAGGATGAAATTGAGAATAAAATAATACAATAAGATCTAAAAACGAGTTTTCCCAGACCATAAACACACAAGTTACACTCTCTCTAACATAAGATTCAATGAAGATAAAATTAATCTTATAAGGATGAAATTGAGAATAAAATAATACAATAAGATCTAAAAACGAGTTTTCCCAGACCATAAACACACAAGTTACACTCTCTCTAACATAAGATTCAATGAAGATAAAATTAATCTTATAAGGATGAAATTGAGAATAAAATAATACAATAAGATCTAAAAACGAGTTTTCCAGACCATAAACACACAAGTTACACTCTCTCTAACAATCATCCGCGTGCGCGCTCCTTCACTGGCAGCGCCGGCCCTCTCATTTTAACGGTCAGATGAAACAGCCTCTCTCTCTCTCGTTGGGTTCCTCTCTTTCCGTTCAAAATATTTTCTTGAAGCATTTTTCGAACAAAATAATAGAAAACTTGTTTGTCCATTGAATTCTTTAATGGAGTTCGATGTGCGCAGAGATTGTTAATAAAATGCACGCTACCTGTTCGATAAAATGTCTCAAAGAATATTTTTTTGTTTTTTCTCCCTGTCGTGTATTGTCTGATTCTTGTTTGTTAAAATGTAAAAAAAAAAAATTCTTTTTTAATTTGATTTCTAATTCTCTACAAGGGAAACTCTTTCCGCATTTTTTTTTAGAGGTTCTTTGCTTGAATGCAAATCTTGAATGTATATTGGGCTGCCTTTGTATCTTCTCTAGATTGCTATGTTGAAGAGAGACCCTGTTACACTGAATAACAAGAAATATATGTTTTCCCTGTGCAGTACAATTGAAAGGTGTGTTCTTTTCAATCCATCAAATGGAGGAGAAATCATTTTTGGATAGAATGCTTGGTCATCTACGAGAAACATGCAAGTAAGAATTATTATTGTCAATATAAATCCTTTCCTTGTAAAATGTTTTAATGCAGTACAGTTTGTATCACTTTCTCGCTTCTAGTGATTGAGTTCTGTTGTATTGCCTTTTTTTTCTACTGTGTGATCAATTTCTTTTACTGTGATTCAATTTAAGACCCCCTAATTATAAATTTGTCTTTCAAATGTTTATAGATTCATTTAAGAAGCTGGCTTGTTTCTTTCTTTAATAACTTTAGTAAAGGGGCATCTTATCTTTTCTTTGTTTGTCTTTTTTATTTGAAATTTAAGGTACTATACTGGGTATCCTAAAGATCTTGGGCCATCACGGGTTATTCACTTTACATCAGAGCGTGAGTTTGTCCAACTTCTTCACCAAGGCTATCCGGTGGTTGTTGCTTTTACCATCAGGTGACCAGGAAGTGAATGGCCACCTGCTATGTTGCTTCCTTAATCATCATAATATGATGTCATTTCTCTGACTACGCATCTTTGATAATGCAGAGGCAATTACACCAAACACCTAGACCGTGTTCTTGAGGAAGCTGCTGCTGAGTTTTATCCACATGTAAAAGTTTTGCGTGTAAGTTGTTTCTGTTGAATGAGTTCATCTTGTAATGTATTAAAGGAATTCTTATTTCTCACATCATTGGAATTACAAAACCTGATATGGTTTTATCTTTGTTTTCTTAATAAATGAGTGATAGATTATGGCCTTAAATTAAGGTTGTATTTGAAATAAATTTTTGACATAGAAACCCAAGGAATTGGATCCTTTTTGGATGAGCTTTCCTAAGTGAGCACCCAAAATGGGTTTCATTTGGAAGCTTGTGAAGAAAGCCACCAAATGCCAGAGTAAAATTTAGACTTCTGATGATAGGAAGCCCATTTTGTGTGTGCATCATATGCTACAAATTTTTCTCGGTACTGCTTCTGCATGTTTAGAGCCATGTGTACAGGGTCAGGGCATATCTTTTATAATTTTACTAGTTTCATTGTTACCATCTACAGCATATTTAGCATCCTTAAAATTTTGATCATGATTTTTGATGTCGGTGTTTCCAGGTTGAATGTCCAAAATATCCTGGCTTTTGTATAACACGGCAGAGGAAGGAATATCCATTCATTGAAATATTCCATAGCCCAGAACAAGTAATATATTCTTCTCTACCAATTTCTTTGTTCAAGGTCTTCATGTCACTATGCCATATCTATGTCACGTACCATTAACCAGTTGTAGAAGATGAAGGTTGTTTCTCATGTTATTAAGATTGTCTAATAAGTGCTTAAGTTGTAGAAGACAAAGGTTGTTTCTCATGTTATTAAGAGCGGTGGGTGATTGTCTAATAAGTGCTTAAGTTTAGAACTCGGTAGAATCTTTCTTTCATTTAGCTTACAAATTTTACTGCAAGATCAGATACAGAAATAATGTTGGTGTCTTCTAGCGTTGGCATATAGGTTTTCTAATGAAAGGCTTTTTTGGTTACTTGGGGCTGGTGGTTGCTTGGCAGCCTTGCTCAGACAAGATAAAAATAAAAAATAAAAAATAAAAAATAAAGCAAATGGCAAGCGAAGGGCATCTGCTGTTTTCTTGGTATGGTGAAATGAGCTTTTTGGATACGGAATAATTTTGTACTATTTTTTTATTTGATCCAATCCTTTTGTGCCTCAAACAACAAATAGTAGATGGATCAGATTGCCCTGCATGTTTCAGGTGTCATTTGGGAAATTGATACTACCAGCATGCTCTATTGACATTGCTATTCAGAGCTGCTTAACAATTATAATGGTTCTCCTGGTGCAGGCAGCTAACCAGGGAAGGGTTGCTGATCCAAATATCACAAAATACTCTGTGAAGGTTCTACCTGTGAGTACTGGATCTTGCTTGTCTTTCACAGGGTTGATAATTTGACTAGTACTCATCATAGATTCTCTTTCCGCTCTTTCATGCTCTTCCAGAATAACAGTCACAGAATGTTCACAAATTTGTATGATTTGTTTGTTGGAAACGATTTGCTATTAAACATGGGTATCTTGACTGTCATAGGTAGATGAAACTGTGTTGTTTTGCTTAGTTGATTGCATCTGCATGATAGTTTTATGGTCATGATTTTGTTAAGAAATTTTAAATAAGCTACGACAAAACAGATTAAGAAATTATGGAGTTGTATATTACTATTGCAAAATGCTAGTAAATCATTTATATTTTTTGAAGATGATTGGAATTTCAAATCTTTTCATAAAAAGGCTGCTCATGGATATATAATTCCTGTACCCCATTTTTTAACTGAGAATGGTAACTGAATGTTCATTTTACCATTAGCAAGGTAAAGTAATGTATATTACAATGATCCCGATGTCATTGCGGCAAGCAGCTAGTCTAAGGCTTCATTTGTTTTTTTGCAGCCAACTGCGCAGTTGGCCACAAAAACAAACAAGCAGCTAGACTAAGGCTTCATTTGTTTTTGCGGCCAACTGTGCGGTTGGCCACAAAGAAAAACAGGCTCTAAATCAGAATTCAGCATTCAATGAAGTTCTATTGAAACAATGTCTTTTCCTTGTGTGCCATTGATGGCAATATCTAACTTATTCTTGTATCTCTACTTGTCCAGTTCAACTATGACCAGAGTGCTTATGGATTCAGAGAATTTTTCAAGCGCCATGGCATACGATCGTCACCAGATCCAAAGTAAAAGGACTGTCAGAAAAGTACTTGGTATGTAATATATGGTTTAATTAAGAACCACCTCTTGTTAAAAAAATATAATATGGCTGATAAGCATTATTAGTTAAAGATTAGTGCCTTGTATATGGTTCAAGTGAATTTTATCATGTTCTAAAGTTCATGCCCACTCGAACTCATTTACTGTGAATGAAGTTTGAAACATGTATCGTATTTTGTTTCAAAAAATGCTTTCTTTTCAAATTTTGCAAATTATTCCTAAAGTGAATACGAAGAGGAATGTATAATCTAAAGCTTCTAATTCAATTGTCATTTAGTGACTGCTTAGAAAAATTGAGTTATAGATTGGTTTTCAAAGTGTTATTTACTTTAAAATATATTATAATAATATTTTTTTAAAATATTTTTAATATCAAATCTAAAAATGTACAAAAAAATTAATTGAAAGTTAAAAAAATTAATTTTTTTGAAAAGCACTGTATCATCAAACATGATTTTATAATTATAGCAAAAAAAAAGGAAAAAAAAAGAAGAGAGTAAGAGTCAATGCAAAGAAAAGACAGCTATTCAAATCAAGAGTCGTCTATGTCATGTTACAGACGAAAATGATTTAAGTTATATATGAGTATAAATACTATGTATTAAATAATAATTTCTAAATGCTAGATTACAAGAACTAAGTTCTAATTAACTCTTCTTTATTCCATGTTACACTACAGATGAATGTTTTTTCCTAGTTTGCAATTCTTGAATTCAAATAAAACTAATTTCTTTTTTTTATTGCACTAATAACTTTTAAATAAAGTATTAATCATTCTCGAAAAATCATATAGAAAATTAGTCTATAGTCTAACATA